CTCCTTGCCCCAGTCTCTGCATTTTCTGAAGGGATGCGATTAACGTGCAGTAAAATCAGTGCAGATTTTGAACACTCATCTTAATGCTGTAAAAATCCAGCCTTTTAGAAGATTACCTATGTGAACCAGCCCTGAAACCCATAATCCTGAGATGAGAAAAACAGGAACGAGGGAAAATTGTGGGAAACGCGTTTCGGGACGGAACATTTTTGGAAGCCTTTCACCCCCTCCTACTCTGCCACTAATAAGGGACAAATGCTGGAACAAAAGGGTTAAATGCAAGTTGTGTTCAGATAAACAAAGCTGTGGGAGATGGAGCAGGTGCCCTGCCAGCTGACACCCAGAGCAGCCAGAATTTGGCACCGGGGAGGAGATCTAAAAGGCTGCTCTGAGCTCCGAGACTCACCGTGCACAGGCTGTTTCTTGGCTCCAGCTTTGCCAGTCCTGTCCACTTTAAATCAGGAGCAACAATTGCTTGCATCGAATTTCTCACCAGCTGGAGCGTAGCAAGGAGTGAATTATGTTTTCTGGGTCTCGGTAAATAAAAATCAAGGAAGAAAGTCTGATAAATGTGCAAGAAAAGGGCAGGAAAGGTCTGGGTCTCTGCCACCAACTCAATAGGGAGCCTTTGGCAAGTCCTTTGACTTTTTTTTCCCTCTTCCTTCTTTCACCTCTTCACATAGAAAACAGAAATAAGCAGTGTTTTCAGTAATTGATGTTTGGAACCGACAATTCAGCACTCTGATGGATTTTCTCTAGGATCTCTAAGCAGTACTGCAAATATCATCTAATTAATAATGTCAATTAAAGCACTGATGAAAGATTTGCATTTCTTCCCAAAGAGTGACACTTACCTGTCCAGTCTGGTCAAACAGCCTGTCAATGTGCTGGATAAACCATCCTGTGTTGAGGATAACAGTGACTTTTTCAGAAGTTCATTGACTAATATGAGCGATTCTTGATTTAACGAATGGCGTTGTAAGACACTGTTTAGTAGCTGACGTTGTGTCCATATTTCTGTATTTTGGGTGTGAAAAGCACAAGTGTCATTCATGTCAGTCATAAAATCATGATATTTAAGGTGTTATTATCATAGAGCAATAGAATTTTAGAATGATTTGGGTTGGAAGGAACTTTAAGGATCATCCAGTTCCATCCCCTGCCAGGGGCAGGGACACCTCCCACTAGCCCAGGTTGCTCCAAGCCCCGTTCAACCTGGCCTTGAACACTTCCAGGGATCCAGGGGCAACCACAGCTTCTCTGGGCAACCTGTGCCAGGGCCTCGCCACTCTCCCAGGGAAGAATTTCTTCCCAATATCCCATCGAACCCTGCCCTCTGGCAGGTTGAAGCCATTCCCCCTTTTCCTGTGACTACACATCCTTTTCGAAAGTCCCTCAAAAATGTAATCCTTGAATTAATCCCCTGAAAAATGGGTTTCCAGTGAAAATGAAGATTAAAGTCTTGTTTTATTTATTCTTCATTTCTGGGAGAGCATCATATTTCATTATACCATTATATGTATATATGTATAATCATATCAGTGGGCTTTTTCTTCATCAGTGAAGTCTGATACACCAGTTCCTCACTGTTTATGTCCTAAGAGTAAGGCAACAAGAGGATTCTGTGAAAGCCCATGCACTGAGGGACCCTACAGTCTTGCCCACTCATCAAGAGTAAATTTTCTGAGTCGTCTCTGTAGTCAGAAAGGCACTTAAATAAAACAATAAGTCACAAAAATACCATTTCTGGGTAATAGTGTGAAAAAATGAGAGGGACTGCCCTGTGTCTGGGCTTCCTTACAACCCCAGCTCAAATGCAAGGTCAGGTTCTGTCCCTGTATGTGTAAATATGTTAAATGTTAAACACAGAAATAATCCATATGAACTCCATTGCATTCTCCTACAGGTGGGCACACACAGCCATTGGCATGGTTTTCTGTCAAGTAAATACCCATATTTTCATACAGAAAACACAAATATGCATTGTCTGAGAGAAGGGAAGCAGCGGCACATGGGAATTTAAAGGTGTTACAGGGAATTTAGGGAGTTACAGATGGTGGCTCTATGTTCCTCACTATGTCCTTGTATATAAATATAAATGTATGTATATATATGTAAACACACAAAAATATAATGGGATATATATGTATGTTATTCCAACATTTAATAGATGGACTTTGACTTTTAGTTGCAATTCAGGGTATGATGTTCAAAATAAATCTAATTGACTTTCCAGTAGCTTATTAAGGAAAATTAGGTTGATGAATCAAGCCTAAAAGCCTATACAGTCAAAGGTTGCACTGGAACTGTCTTCAGTGCATTAGTAGAGCTTAGATATACAGAAAAATATGTTAATAAAAGGCAAGTTTGCTCTTAGAGCAATCAAAATATTAACTTTATTGAAAGTGTGAATCCCTTCATAATGCCCAAACACAGTGAAATGCAATAAAATTTGGGTATATATATAAAAATGTCACTATAAAAAGCCTATTCATGTCAGAAAACCTAAATTAATATGATGCTTCAATGTTATTATGGATGTCATGAAATTCAAAATGAACTCAAATCTAATATTTTAACATCGCTGTGACTTACTACTACCTATATTTGGAGTGAAATAATGGTAATTTTTATTTCATCCTTTTTAGATTATAGGAATAAAAACCCATTTAAAACGTTTAAACATAAAAAAAAATATCTTTTTCTGAGCCATCAGTGTAATGTGCAGGATGCCAGGAACATCAGGCTTCAATCCATTTAGTAGTGGTCTGGTCTTTCTCCAGAAAGAATTTTGGACAGTTTGTAATGTCAAATTACTCCATAAATGATGAAATAAAAAAGGTTTTTTTATGAGTCAAAGAGGGGTTTTTTGGAGTTTTTCTTGCAGCTTCTTCTGACCCTGTTTTTGTGGGTCACTGTGAGGCATAGGCTGGTGTCTGAGGTGACCTCATGTGAGGAGCCAGTTCCATGGGAGCTGCTGATTTGAGTGGCACATGCTGGGGAAGACACCAGGAAAGACAGGGATAAAGGAACAGTGCTTTGCTCATTGATCCTCTAATTGCCAACTAAACCCACAGGTGAAAATTCCCCCGCGACAACCCAATCTCTGCATTCTGAAGTTGGATTTTAGCAGCACAGGTGCCTATATCTGAGCTGTATCACTGTCACTAAACCTGGGGGTTGGTAGATCTAGGAGGGAAACGGGTCTGTCCAAAATATTCTGCAGAGCCATTCCTGTGACTGTGCCAAGAACCTGGAGCACAGCCCCAGTTCTGCTGCAGCATCTGCCAGTTCAGCCTGATGCAGCAGCTGAACAATCTCTGCTAGAAGAGGTTTGCTCAGAGCGTTGGTGACCTCTCCTCAGAATTTTTAGACTTATCCAACATTTGCAAACGCCCAAGAATTAGAATTATAGAATCATAGGATATCTTGGATTGGAAGGGACCCAAAAGGATCATCAAAGTCCAACTCTTAGCCCTGCACTTGCCCAGCCCCAAGAGTCACACCCTGTGCCCCAGAGGATCAGCCAAACCCTCCTGGAGCTCTGGCAGCCTTGGGGCTGTGCCCACTGCCCTGGAGAGCCTGGTCAGTGCCCAACCAGCCTCTGGGGGAAGAATCTTTTCTAATATCCAGCCTAAATTCCCATATGTAAAATCCTCAAAGCAGCTGGAGCTGGGCAGACAAGGCAGGAGCCCAAGGGAGTTCTCACCATGGCTTTCAGTATTAACCCTCCAGAGTCACTGGTGTGTTGGGCGTGGAGGTTTGATGCTCAATACCTCCATCCAAAGTCACAGTACAGCCTCCCTGATGCTTCAGAGGGGTTTTCTAGACTCCCTCCATCACCTTCACATCAAACCCTCTTTTTTTTCTATCTCAGAAAATCAAAAAGCACATCTGATTTATTATAGAAGAGAGAGATAACTCTCTCTCTAATTGATTTTAAATTATTACATGATAAGGAATTTGAAAAAGTATAAACTGGAAAACATGTTTTATGCTGAACTGAATTATTTTAGGTCCTTCAATGCTTTCTCTTTTCCCATAGGATCAAAATCAGACTCTGCTGGGATTTTACTGTTAGTGAAAACCTTCTCACACAATTTGAAGTTTTTTTCCAATCCCTAATTAATACTGGACCATCAGGGCTAAAAACAGGAGCAACCTGGAGCCCTGTGGTCGCTCCAGAGGATGCAGAACTGAGCTGCTCTGAACATTTAACCTGCTGCAGTGGTCAGTGAAGTGCTGGAAATGTTGTTTCACTGCTCTGTGGGCCCCTGGCAGAGCTTTTTGCTGCAGCTTCACGAGGCTCCTCGGTGTCTGTGCACGATGCAGCAGCACCACTCCATGGCTCCTGCATCCCCCAACACCCAGCCTGAGCCACAATCCTCTGAGGGGCCAACAGAGTCTGACTTTGGAATTAAACAGTTAGCATGTTGGGTGGGAATTTGGCTTTAGGCGCTCCAAGTAATCATTTTTTGAATGATAGAAGAGAGGAAAAGGAAATTAAGGAAGGAAAAGGAAATAAAGAAAGGAAAAGGAAATAAAGGAAAAGGACATTTTTTAATGTAAACCCAGATTGTTATCATTTCGTGTTGTAACATCTGTACTTTTAGTACATAAATCACCATGGATTTTGGCACAATGTTTGGTAAGTGTGTGGGTCTTTCTTATTTCAGAATCTTCCCCCTCGCTTAAAAATACGAAAGAAATAAAGAATAAAAAATCCTCAGAAAAAAAGCTCCCTCATCTGTTTTTCTTATTATTCCTGGAGTTTGATCAAACTTCCTGATAACCAGATATTTAACAACACAATGCAATCCACCATCTTCTGAAAAACACTTTCCATTCATAAGACCAATAATGAAATAGAGATTTAAACTTGCAGTTCTTCTCTGGGCTCTGCTACATCCCTTCCTCTTATGGGAAACAAACTGTTATCAAAATTAAATTGCAAACTATTATCAGGAAAGAATTAATTACTTTTATCCTTCTCATTTCAGGTTGGGAAGTAGATAATTTGGGGCAAACCCATGCAGGTAAGAACCAGTTGTGCTGCCTACCTTTTAGGCAACTCTGTTCTCAAAAACTGTGCAGAGCACATGGAAATATCAGATTAGTGGAAAGTTGTTTGTGTATCGACCATTATGACAATCATACATTTAGTTCTTTGTAACTCTCAGATAAAAAGTGAAATTAAAAATCTCATAAGTCTTTATAAATCAATGTGATTTAACCTAAACCCACAAAATCAAATTATCTTACTTAAACCAACTAGTTAATATTTTTTGTCATTGATGGATGAAAATAATTTTTCATTAACTCTCTGAAAACTGACCATATTTAAATACCTATGGATTATAAATCTAAATTCCTAAAGATACAATATTTGACTTCTATAATTTTACAATTAAACTTTTCCTGGTTTGATTGCCTGTGTTTTTAGCTGTGTGCTTGTTTCTTGCAGTACCTATTTTCTAATTTTAGAGGTTCAACTTTGATTTAAACTCACAAGTAAAACCACATTTACTTCCTGAGTAAGACAGAATCAAGTATTTATTGCCTTTGGGCCTGATTTAAACTAATAAAAATCAATTGCATCCTATTCACTGATTTCCACAGAGACCAGTTTGGGTCCTAATAGAAAACACAATCAAAACAATTTCATACCAAATTTCCACTTTTCCAGGTGATTACGACCTGCTGGAAAGCACAGCCCAGTCTCCCCTAGGTAAGAAATAAAACCGTGGAGGTTTTTTTTCTCTTTTTATTTATCTCTGTTAAAAAGGAAGCTCAGAGGTTTTTTTCCCCTACCACTTTGGTATTATTTTCTAATCAGTACTAATTATAATCATATATTTTCTGCTATGTTACTTTTAGCACTATTATGAAAATTTATTCCTCCACTATTAAGCCTTACAATCTAGGGAAGTGTGTTGCTATAAATGATATCTACCTGCTTAACAGTAATTACTAAATGGTGTTAAAGACAGTCAACACCATGATTCAGTAGTTATTTTCCATAGGAAACTAGGGATGAATGTGCAAGAGTCATTTACCAAAATTTGCCAAGTAATGCGATGTTTTTAAATGAATGCTGTGATTAAAGAGATATATTCTGCTGCATGGATGGCAAACACAAGCTCTAAAAATAAGGTCATGAGCTGCTCGACTAAACTGCTCTAAGAATTCAAAGCAGCACAACCTTAATAACAAAAACCAAACCCAAACCTTGGAAATTTCCATCAGTTTTGGTCAAGGTACAGCTGAAACTCCAAAAACTGTAAGACATGGAAGCTGTTCTGTTGTGCTGGAGAGGAAGAAGTGCAGCCAGAGGCCCAGCCCTAGTTTTATAACCAGGGCACTGAGCTCTGGCAAGATGATGGTGCTTCCAAAGAGCATCACAAGGGTTGTCCCACCTCAGGCAGCCTCGTAGCAAAGTGAGTGTGAAGAGATTCCTTCCTCTTCTACCCCCAACTCTAGTTTTCCAGTGCAGTTTTAAGCCTGAATGTGTCAGTGAAAGCCATATAGGATCTAGTCTTTATAGCAGATTAGGCAAAAAAATGGGTTATAAGCTTATAAATTGAGCTTAAAGGCCAGAATTGGAACAATTAATAGACAGAGGAATGTAAGAAGCTCTGAACCAGGTTTTAAATTGTCAACTGAAGCAACCATCTGTAAATGAACATATTGCCATGAAGACAGAGATTGGAAAGAGATTCCCACTCCATCTTTCCTTTTTCTACAGACCTGTTTTCCTACAGACCTTCCCCAAAAATTCACTCTCAAATCAGAGCCTATGCTTGAAGATAATTGAGTGGGATACATGATATCTGACCACAGGAAAACAAACCAGCTGCCTCACCATGGATATATAATGGCTGGTTCAGATACCCCACATATCCTGCCTGGCACCCAACAGCTGGTCCAGTCCCATGCATGTGCCTCAGATACAGACCACTTAAAATAGCATAAAGGGCCTGTATTTAAGCAGTGGACTTCCCTTTGCCCCCCTGAAATGTAGATGTCCACAGCAAAGCTGGATTCCCGAGATGCCTCTCAGAATCAATGGAGATAATTGGACTTTTAGCAGCCCCCTGGTTTAGGTACCCACGTGAGAATGAGATTTTTGGTGGTCTGTAGACACTGAATACTCTGATTACATGTTTTTGCTCTCTGGTGGCCAACTGTAGTGCTTGCCATCCATAGATACCCATTGTAGAACTGGGTCATCAATGATGTTATTAAATGTCAAGATTAAAATCCTCTATGGATGTCCAGATAAACAGTGCTTTCAGTAGAACTGCGGGGTTTTCTTTTCAAGGGGAGGGAGGGCAAGTCCTGGAGTCTGCTTCCACAGTGTCACATTCCCAATTTGGCACAGGGGACATCAGCAGGAATTGCACTGAGGATGGCTGGTCTGAACCTTTCCCTCATTATTACGACGCCTGCGGCTTTGACGAAAATGAGACAGAGTCCGATAACCAGGTGGGAATTACTCTTGTAATTATAAACAAATGAAGGGGGGGAGCAGCAGCAGCACTGCTTTTTGCCCAGCCTCTGATCGTGTTATGATTTGATAGTGGTCAGAACAAGCAATCGGATATTTATGGGTATAAAAATGTGAGGTTTAAATCCTTCTTAGCCTGGTACTGAATATTTACAGAAGATGAGTTTTTACTCCTGATGCAGTTTGTAACTTATAGAGTCGTGGGTTAACCTGCACTTCTTCCCCTACTGACTAAAGAATTCCTCGGCCAACTATTTCCTTCCTACAGGTGTGTGCACAGTGATCAAAAAAAATAAAGATAGCTTTTGGCAGCTCTCTGACAAATAACTTCATGGTACACAAAGCCAAGGGCACAGCTGACATAGAGCAGAGCTCTGATATCCAGTGAGATCTCAGAGGAAATAGAGGAGAAATCAGGCTGTTCAAGAAACAAATCCTGCCTCTGGTTCCCCCCCTGCATGTTGACAGGGTAAGGAAGATGTGGCTGTAGATGAATCCTTTAACCACGTGTTGTTTGCCTCCCAAGGATTACTACTATCTGTCTGTGAAGGCTCTGTACACGGTGGGATACAGCACTTCCCTGGTGTCCCTCACCACTGCCATGGTCATCCTGTGTCGTTTCAGGTGAGTCAGGACATGAGCAATGAGCTGTTCGGTCACTGGAGGAGAGAAACTGGACCTCATTTGTCCAAGCTTTTACCTCACCAGATGTAGAATACAAGGGAAAAAACCCTTTAATTGAGTTGCTCCCCCGGCTTGGACACACTCCAGTAGTCACATTTCTGTAGGCTGTAAATGCATCAGGAGAAAGTTTGGGTCTGTTTTATGAAGCTTCAGAAGATGCATTGGACTGGGTCTATTTTTTTGCTACAAGAAAATGCCCAAATCCTCCCCTTGCTCAGGCTTAAGATCAGTACTAACCACAGTCCTGGCTTATAAATATTGCTATTCTTAGCACCAAGGTGCTCTGGCCATGTGCAGATGTGCCCAGTGTGATGAAATACAACCATTTTCTTCTTTATTTCTCTTCTTTTCCCCCTCCCTTCCTCTTTGCTCTCTAGGAAGCTTCACTGCACCCGGAATTTCATCCACATGAACCTCTTTGTTTCGTTCATCCTGCGTGCAATATCTGTGTTCATCAAAGATGGGGTTCTTTATGCTGAACAGGATGGCAACCACTGCTTCATCTCAACAGTGAGTAAAACTGAAACCTTGATTCTTTCCAGCATGAGATAAAAGAAAATAATGAGGCAAGCACAAGTCTGTTGAGCGTCATAAACTGAGATGCCATTAAGAGAAAAGGCGATAAACTGCCCTCCCAATTCACAGCCAAACTGGATGTTGTATCTCATGATGTCACCAGGGTCCAGCAACCAATCCTTCAGGACAAACCTATGGGTTTTGGTTTCTGCTCAGATTGTTTCTCCCTTTCACAGCCTGCAGAGCAGTGGGTGGGATGAGAGCAGGCACAAGCAATTTCCTCCCTCTGAAGGTCTGTTTTTTCTCCAGAGCCTCATTTGTTCTGGATGTCAGGCAGAGTCCTGTGTAAACAGGGTGACCATTCACACAGAAAATGCATCCAATGGTCACACTCTCAGCAAATCATTGGTATGAGCCACGTGTTTGTCTCTGAAATGTGGAGTTTCATGAAAAGCAGTCTCTTTCACAGATGCATTTAGCTGTATATTATGTGTAAATCCCAATTTCTTTCACAGTTAAGGCTAGTATTTGATATGATAAATCAGCTCACTGAGTGTAATTATGATGGAACTATAAACTGACTTCTCCTTTATCCATCCAGTTATGAGCTAAATTCCCTATGAGTCACTTCCACAAGGAAAGAGCAGCTGTGTAGTTTCTTAGTCAGCCTTTTCTTTGTCACTGAAACTAGTTTTTTTCTCTTAATTCTTCTCTGTGGTAAAGCTGAAGACATGTTAGTTCTGTAGTTTGTTCCTACCACTCTTCCAATGGTGGCATCTGCCTCTTTGTTTTGAAACACTTGAAGCACAGTACACGTCGAAATTCACCATTCAATCCCCAAATCCTCCTGGTAGAGCTTCTGTGAACAAACTCAAGATCTGCTGGTTGAAACACATTGGTTGTAGGTTTGGCCCAGAGGGTGGAAGGCAAGTGAGAACGAACCAAAACTGCCAGGTTCCCATTTGCCTCAGGCAGGAGCTTCCAGTTTATCCACTGATTCTGCTCCGATTTGTTGAGAAGTCCTACTTTTGTAGGACTGAAAACATCTAAAACATCTGAAAACATCACTAAGGTGCAACGCTGGAAAGACCAGTGTGTCCTGCTTTCACAGAGTCAGGGCAGAGCTCAGTTTCCACCTTAGTCTTTTGTCAGAGAATCACAGAATGGTTTAGGTTGGAAAAACCCTCTAAGATCACGGAGTCCAACCATTAACCCAGCACTGCCTCATCCACCACTAAACCATGACCCCAAGTGCTACATCTACACATCTCTGAAACACCTCCAGGGATGTTTTAAATTCCTCAAGGGGTGCTGACTCCACCACTTCCTGAGCAGCCTCTTCCATGGCTTGAAAACCCTTTCATGAAGAAATTTTCACTAATATCCAATATAAACCTTTCCTGGTGCAATTTGAGGCCATTTCTTATTGTCCTATCTCTTATTACCTGGGAGAAGACTTTGCTACAACCTCATTTAAGGTAGTTGTAGGGAGTGATAAGGTTTCCCCTGAGCACCCTTTTCTCTGGGCTAAACAAACATATTATTTTAATTTTTTTATTATTATTTTTCTTTAGTTTGCTGCTTTTTCCCCCACCAATGAACAAAAGCTTCCATCATTTTTTACAGTTAATCACTCAGCCTTCTTTACTCTCACACTCACTTTCATTTTTAGCCCCTGATGGTGTCAAGGCAGTGCAATTCTCACCTGTGCTCAGGAGGGTGCATCCTCCCTGATCCCACTCTCAGGGATCCCCACAGTCATCCTGCCATTTCACATCCTTCCTTAGGTTTCCCAAAACACAACTAGATTCTTTTCTTCCCTGCACTTAATGCTTGGGAGGGGGCTTAAATCTAGCACTTGGTGTTCCCTGAGGATGTGAACTCCCCCCAGTGCAAGACTGTCCGTCTGCAGATGCTCCTTGACCACCTCATGCTGGTAAAACTGCCTTCCTCCCCTTTCAGGCGGCACTCATTTGAGTGGTACCTCACATTCTTCTCATTCTTTAAAAACTTTACCCCTAGAAGTGTTCAATACCAGCCCCAGTTCTTTCCACGGAGAGATTTGGAGAGGTTAAAAGCAGTTTTTTCTGTCCCTTAGACGGAAGCGACACAGAAATAACTTTGTTTCTCTCGACTCTCTGCAGGTGGAATGCAAAGCAGTGATGGTGTTTTTTCACTACTGCGTCATGTCCAACTACTTCTGGCTTTTCATTGAGGGGCTGTACCTTTTCACTTTGTTGGTAGAAACCTTTTTCCCAGAGAGGAGATATTTCTACTGGTACACAATCATTGGCTGGGGTAGGTGATGTTTCTTGTCTGAAATGTGTCTCATCTGAGATTTCCACACTCGGTTTCAAAGTATAATTTTAGTCTTTGTGTGGGAGTACCTCTGTGTTGTGCTTTTCCTGCCTGAACAGAGTTGAACTGGAATCTGGAGGACACGACACCCCTTGCAGAGATGAAGTCCACAACAGAAAATTACCTCCTACAAAATATGATCTTAATATCAAGCTCTTCAGCTTAATCAAATCTACAATCCTAAATCTAGTCCATTTGCTTCATTTGTGCCTTTCTCCCAGATAACAGCTAAATTGAAAATGTATCCAAAGGGTATTCACATATGCTCATCCTACCTGGGTGGGAAATAAAAGCTTGCAGTGGGAAGAAACAAGATTTCTTTCAGAAAGGCCGGTTGCATGATGATAATCAGTGTAATTATTTTTCATTCTGGCCTTCTGGAGATAAATTGGTTCCTGTGACGTGTTAATTCAAGCAGTTCTTTGCTGAGGTTTTCGTGCAGAAGTCAGATGGTGAATGCAGAAGAGTACATTCATTTAAAATGTGCCCTGAGAAGGTTAAACTTATTTTTATACTTAAACATGCTTCTGAAATAATTAGAAATAATCCTGTATATTCATGTGTAAAGGCTACACAAAAAAAACGCCATGTCTTAAACTTTTCTCCTTTGTAAAAAACATCTTTATGTAACCTGAATCTTCAGATAATCCACAGATAATTTTGTTTTCCCCTTCTGAGGCAACTGTACGTACACAAAAATTCTCATCTCCTGGCAAAGACTCCCTACAATAGGGAGAAAAATATAGAGAAGGTATAGAAGTAAAGAAGCTAAAGAGAAGGTATAGAGAAGAAAGAAGGGACCAAATAATCATAAATAACCTATGGCATAAAACAGCTATTGGGAAAGGATGGTTACTGGAAAAGGCTTTTGGAAAAGAAATTATTGGAAAGGGTGTTCAGAGTTCCCTTTGTACTATCCACAGATGTACAGTCACATTATAGCTGAGACATAATTGTGTTCTCAAAGAGAAATTAGGAGTTATATACATGAAAATGTGACAATTGCAAAGGAAAAAAAATATATAAATCTCTGCAATCTGAACAAGCCAGAGGTTGCTGGGTTCCTTTTATTAAGTTTGCACAATTTTCATATCTGTAGGTTTGTCTGAATATGAGAATACTGCAACACAAAATATATTAACCGATATTTATTTTTATTTTGAAGTCAGTCTTTATAATGACTGATCTACCCAGATGAATTCATTCTGTAAAGCAGCCTCAAAATATTTAGTTCTGAGTTGAATACCATAAGTAATATCCAGCTGTTCAATTTACAGATATCATAGAATCCTAGAGTGGTTTGGGTTGGAAGGGATCTTAAAGACCATCTCATCCCGCTTCCCTGCCATGGGCAGGGACACCTCCCACTAACCCAGGTTGCTCCAAGCCCTGTCCAACCTGGTCTTGGACACTTCCAGGGATGGGGCAGCCACAGCTTCTCTGGGCAACCTGTGCCAGGGCCTCCCCACCCTCACAGGGAAGAATTTCCTCCCAGTATCCCATCGAACCCTGCCCTCTGGCAGTTTAAAGCCTATCCCTCCATCCCTTGTCTCCAGTCCCTCTCCAACTCTCCTGGAGCCCCTTTAGGCCCTGGAAGGGGCTCTCAGGTCTCCCTGGAGCCTTCTCTTCTCCAGGTGAACCCCCCCAGCTCTCCCAGCCTGGCTCCAGAGCAGAGGGGCTCCAGCCCTTGGAGCATCTCCGTGGCCTCCTCTGGGCTCATTGCATCAGGTCCATGTCCATCTTACCCTGAGAGCCCCAGAACTGGGAACAGACTCAAATCACTTCATATTCAAAGCAGCATCAATAGTATCCATTGACAGCACTAAGAGAACCTGCAGATGTGGATGTTTTGGGTTTGTTTTTTAACACAATTATTGTCTCACCTCCTGCATACTCCACCTTGACTGGCAGCTCCCCTGCCCTGGTTGAAGCACTTGGCAGGAACTAAAGCACTTCCAGACTCTGGATGCAATTCCTATAGAGCCAAAGCAGCCCCTCAGCTCAGAGCTGGTGGGGAGGGAGTTGCACTGAAGCAACAATCAGCAAGAGCTCAGCATTTTGCAGCATCTGGATGTTTATCTGCGTCCTGAAATGTGCTGAGCACGGCAGTGTCCTCGTTTGATTAATGAGAGCTGCAGATGGCTCTGTTGATCCAGGCAATTTTTTCTCTCCTCACATCTGCAACATGCTGGGAAGTTCTCTGGATAGACAGACTGCTGTCTTCCTGAGTTCTCTCCTAATGCCTGCCCCGTGCCCAGGGCAGGGACACAGCCAGCAAGGATAACTCTCTTCTCAGCCTTTGGGGTTTGTCTGTTTTCTAATGTTGCTCAGAAGCTGAAAAGAAAGTGATGAAGAGACATAAATCTTTTGATGTAAAGAAAAGTTCTGTGGGTATATGTATATTCATACAGCAGATGGTTCAAAGCTCCAAGCAGATCTGAAATGTGGGGGGTTTTTTTTGAACTATATTTTTAGGACACAATTTAGTTTAATTCTGCCCTCCTGCACATTTTTTTTCAGATTTGGAACACTATTCGTAGCATCCAAATTTATACAGTGCAAATCAGTGCAAACTAGACAAAATGTGAGAGCCATGTTCCATAGAATCAGAGAATCACAGAATGGTTTGGGTTGGAAGGGACCTTAAAGCTCATGTCATTCCCACCCTCTGCCATGGGCAGGGACACCTTCCACTATCCCAAGTTGCTCCAAGCTGACCTTGGACACTTCCAGGGATGGGACACCCACAAGTTCTCTGGGCAGATATTTGCTATTTCAAAATTAATTTGATAAAACTAAAATTAAAGTTCGATATTTAAAAATTAATTTTGCTACTGTTCATCTGATAAGGGCACAAAGATCTCCATGTTTTCTAGGTATTCACCTGTCAGAACAGAAGACTTCAACTGACATTAAATATGCATGGTTTCTCCTCCCCAAAGCCTGTCATTTTATTTCTTTATATCATCTTCCTTTCCAGTATTCCCCCATGTGCTTATTTCAAGGAGGAGGGCTCCATCAGTCATCAGGTCTAACAGGGAAATTTGCATTTCTGGGAGTGGGAATATGAGATGTGACAGAGACTCATTTAAATGGGTTCAATCAGATGACTAATTAATGCAACATCAACACAACCTTGCAAAATATATGAAATACAATTGTTCTTGTCAGCTTTTATGAGTCTCATTCACTGCAGTGAGCTGGGTTACCAAGGTCCTCGTTTTGTTTGCTTTTTAGCACTTCATTTCTCCAGTGGTGCCTGAATAGATGTCAGCAGTTTCCTAATCAAAAGTTTTATTTACCATAAAATGTAGATCCAACTTACCCAGAGTTGTCTTTCAAGACTGTATTACTTTATAAAAATATTTCCACTGAAAAAATCACACTTTCAGAGTTTTTAGAAAGGAAAATAAATCCATGTTTCTCAGTGGATTCTTGGTGTTTTGATTAAATTTGCATTTTACATGCATTTTTTGAAAGAGTGAAGTAATGCCTGGAATAGAAATTATATCCAATATTCTCTTTTGAGAGGCTGTTGTTTTGTTGTGGGGGGTTTTTTTAAAGAAAAAATTTTAGTATTCCCATGAGTTAGGGAAACTTCCCTATTGATTTGTTTTGATTGAATAAGTAAAGCAAAAGCAGTTATTTACACAACAATAGAGAAAATTCAACATATGCAAATAATTCACAACTGAACCTCAAAAGAATCCAGGGAATCCAATAATGCCATTGCAGCTCAACATCTGGCCCTCTGCAATTATTGCATCATTGCAGCAGCTCTAGACAGGATGTCACTGCTTCTATTCTGTGCAGACTTTGTTTTCCTCTTCATGCAACAAGATGTAGTGCAGCAACTTGGAGCAATAATGGCCTGAAGGAGCATCATTTTTCCCTGCTATCAGTTTTGCTCCTGCAATCCCACCCACCAATTGTTTCTAGAGCTCTGAATCAATGCAAGGAATTGCAGTCTTTGGTGCACAAGTGCTGTTGGGGGAGTAAAACCTCAGTAGAGAGGTTGCATGAAGTGCTCACTGCTGGATATTGGATGTGCCTGGAACTTTTAATGGTGTCACCTTCTCGTCCTCTGCAGGTACCCCAACAATCTGTGTCACTGTCTGGGCAGTGCTGAGGCTTCACTTTGATGACACTGGGTAGGTATTGCTGCATGGGAAACCAGCCCATGTGCCTTCAGCACCATGGCAAGGATGGCATGGAAATGTAGGGGTTAGAGGATATGGAATCGTGGAGTCATTGAGGTTGGAAAAGACCTCCAAGATCATCAAGGCCAACCTTGGATTGATCCCAACCTTGTCCCCCAGCCCAGAGCACTGAGTGCCACATCCAGTCATTCCTTGGACACCTCCAGGGCTGGGACTCCACCACCTCCCTGGGCAGCCCCTGCCAATTCTTACAACCCTTTCAGTGAAAAAATTCTTCCTCATGTCCAACCTGAACCTACTCTGGTGCAGCTTGAGGCCATTCAACTTGTCTTCTTTTCTCCTTCCATTTCTGACATTGTTTTTTGTGTACACCAGTAATTCAGGTCCACTGTTCAAGTCCTGCCCTGTTCATTTGAATACAGAACCACAATTTGATGTCTGTGCTGTTATTGCACAGGGCAATTCCTAAAAAAAGCTGTAGGCATCAAGCCTGTAAACCTGCAGTTGACTCCACTGCCCTCCATTCCCCACTCCAGCAAATTAGTGGAGTCCAGGATGTGGTTTATCTCATCTTAAAAGAGCTGAGAGGTGAATCACACATGTAATTCCTGCCCCTTTCCAGCTGATTATGGAGAAGGACAAAGGGGATGAGCTCAGCTGTGGAAATTACTGGGGGTATCTCTGATGAAATGAGTGAAATCTGCCCAGGGCATTGCTGAGCTTTGATTTACAGAGGCAATTAGAAGTTTAGCTTCCCACTGAGGAGGGTTTCCAGCAGGGGAGATGAACAGGGGTGAGACAGAAATCCACACCCTGTCTTCTGTGTGAAGAAAAAAATTAAAATTTAAGTAATTTCAGAAAGATTCAAGAGAGTAGATTATACCTAAACTGTCTCTTTTGGTAGAGGAAAAAAAGCCCTGCAAATATCCTGAATCCTTTTCTGAAGGACCAGAAGGAAAAGCTGCTCCCAGAGATGGACCTGCATATCTCAGTAGGCAGTAGATTGACTGACTTGATAGGGCAGCAGATGTGGCAGGTAGGGATGGATATGTATGTCCACCCTGAAAACACAAAATTAGCAATGTTTTTTTCCATGCCATCTATGTTTGAACTCGGTGAAATGTTAGAAAAATGAGGGAAAGTGAGTAAAATTTCAAAAATGGTTCTTCGAAAACATAGAACTGAGTGAAAGGCATTTTGTACCCAAATCCCATTTCCAAGAGATTTAGGCTTATGCTTTAATTTCTCCTCACGTTGGAGACACCTGGATGTACAATTTGCACAAGACTCATTTTTCTACCAGGTTTTCTTCATCCTTCTTGTTTCAGACTCTCTGGAAAACACATAAAGCCCTTCCTCCACTGGGGATGCCAGTGCTTTGACCCAATGTTCCATTGTGACATTAAGACAAATTAAATCATTTCTTTCCATGCAAAACAAGCCAGAAACCCCTGTTGTGTCATTATTATGATCACAACACTGGTCCTAAGTGCATTAATTCCTCTTAGAAGTCCAAGTAGGGTTTTGCAGGTAGAGAGAACATCTCACAGAAGGAAAAGAAGGAAAAAAAAACCAACAAAAACCTTTATTTTCTTTTACTTAGAGAAGCTATTTAGCATGCAACACATTCAGGCAGATTCTAGCTGAGAGTCTCAGTGGTTACTTTTTAAAAATCAGCAGGCATTGTTCAGGGGGTAGGGGAGAAGCCAACACAGAGCCTGAAAACACTACAGGAATTACTGAACTGGAAAACCACAGTGGCAAAGGCATGGACTGAAATACAGACACGGAGTCTGAGTCTCCTTCTGCTTGTTCCTTGCAAAACTGGCAGAGCTCCCTTGACTTCAGCTCCTGACTCCCATCCCTGCCAGTGACAGGTTTGTGGAGATAAATCCAGCTGTCTGCTTATCCAGAGCTCTGGTGTTGAATTAAAGGGAGTTATTCCAGATGGACACCAGAGATGTGGCAGAGAGCAGACTCTGGCCTTTTCAGATGGAAATCACATCCCTCCCCCAGCCCATGGGCTCCCTTCCCTTCCTCCATCCTGGAAAAGAGTCCTGCCTGTCTGACCTGCACTGCAGTGATGCATCTGAAGGAAATTAGGGAGCCTGTTTATGTGGAGCAGCTTGTTGGCTGATAACACTGACTGCTCTGTTGTGCTTTGCTTGTTTTTCCTTCTGGCCACATTTAGCTGAGAAGAAGATGATGTTTCTTCCACTCCATCCATCCTACAGATGTCACAGGGACTGGGACAAAAAAAAATACTAATGATAAACCTCTGTGTGAGCTTCATCTGATTTCTTGTTGACATCCACAAGGCAGAGGTTGGAAATTGAGCTCATCCTGTAAAAGCTGAGGAAAAGGTCTAAAAGGATAGGAATTTGTAGGGGATGATGTATCACCCCAGAGCCCAGATTTAAAATACCTCAGTGTGGAAAAAACACTCCAAAACAACCTCCAAGTGTCTCTTTGTCCCAACCAGATTCCTGGGCTGTCCATGTCTTCAGTAGAGATGACTGGAACTAGAGGAGGGAGATTCCTTTCCCTTTAATTTCTAATTTTTACACAGACAAACTACCATACATCAATATCTGTTTAAATTAATATCAGAATTTTCCCAGATTCTTCCAGCATTGGTCAACTCACTAAAGACTTTCAGTGTAGATTTAATATCCATTGAAGGAGGTTGAGCTCTGACACAAAGGGTAATTTTCAGAGGGCAGCACCTAATTTATAAACACACAAATAATTTAAAAGATAATTGGTGATTTTAGGTGATTTTGTTTTGGGGAATTCAATTGTTGATCACTGAAGAGAGCCTGATTTCCAGGCTGTGGGTGAGGAGTTCCCTCTGAACATTTATCCACTTCCATTTATCCACTTAAGTTAGGCATCCACAGTGAGGTTACTCAAAGATATTAATTTGCATTTGAAAATCTCAGCCATCAGTCTTGTGGATTTTGGGTGACCTTAGGTTTCTGGGCATTGCAAACAGAAGCAAAAATGCATAATTTTGTGCAAATTTGACACCCCACCTCTACATTTTCTCTCTTCTCATCAGCTATACCACACACATCCTTCTTATTGGTTTTATGGAAATCCAGTAAAATACTGTCTAAGTGAAATATAATGAAAATTGTTCAATGGAAAAAGTAAGTTCAGCTGGAATTTCTGAGCCAGGCATCACTCAGCCACTTGGGATTCCTCCCACATGCACTTTGAGGATGGGATTTTAGCTCTGCCTCCTCACTTTTACACATGTAAATAGTTTTGTTCAAAGGAAAGATTTTCACTTTTCCCCCAGATGCCACCAGACAACCATTCCAGTGACACAGAAGTTGCATTAAGCTCTCATCAGACCAGCAGTGTTTTATTCCTGTGTGCTTGTTCCAATTGTTTCTTGGCATCTGACAAATGCACCGTGACAGCCACTGCTGGGATTTGTGGTTGTGCTCCCAGCGGGAGGCCAAACCTTCTTCTCAGAACTGCAGGTACAAAGTAGACAGTTTTTCATGATTTTTGTATTTTCTAGAGGCAAATATCAGGGGAAGAAAGTGGAGAAAAATGAAAGAAAATTTTAGCTGACAGTCAAATTCTTGATGACTTAAAACAGTCATTAAGACATTATGTCTCAATTATATGTAATTGTCATTACAACAGTGTAGCAGGGGTGGAAAAACAAGATTCTTTTCATTATTAGTGGTTTTCTAGCTTTAAAAATGTCTGTTAACATTAAAACACTATATATATTTATATATAGGTCCTACATTTAGCTTTTACTACAAATAAATGTCCAAATGAACCTATGTGGAGTAAACTTCTGGAGAATTCTTTGGTGAATGTAAAGGAAGATTTTAAATGCTCAGGTAGAAATGTCATTTTATTTATGATCCCTCATCCCCAACAGCTTAAAAAAGGGACTGACCCCAACTGTTGTCCAGTTCTTGAACCTTCTCAGATGAATCTTTGCTCCTTGGCTGGACTTTCATTCCCATCTGTGAGTACAACCAGGCTCTGGTACATCCTGGTGTACTAGAAATGTGTAAGAATTCTCATATCAGGGTCAGAAACCCACACTCATGTCTGTTAACTGTGGAAAAGCAACTGAGGAATCAAACTTTGGAATAACTATCTCTTACCCTTTGGGGCATCTATGTCTTTTTTTTGTAAAAGAGACAAATTTACAGTTGTACTGTAGGCACAGAAACACATATTAAGGCATTTTCCATAATATCTAAGCTGTTTAGGAGGAAGTGACATTTAAACTGCCACAAAAATACTTATTTGACTCTCAGGTAAGTTGGGAAAGGCTGTTAAATAAAGCTACAACAAGGACAAACTAAAGAACCTGTACTTTGAACCCAAAATAATTTAGCTGCAAGACCGATCTCCCACTCTCTGACCCCTTCAAAATGATTATAAGTGTATTAACTTATTTGTTATATCTTTTTCTCTTCCCTTCTCTCTCCCTATCCCATTTTTTCCTCAATGACTGCAGCTGCTGGGACATGAATGACAACACTGCCTTGTGGTGGGTGATCAAGGGTCCTGTGGTTGGATCAATCATGGTAAGTAGGACTTGGAGTAGACACTTCCTCAGCTCTTCTGAGGACAAAAACCCAATTTAAATATCTTCAAATACCTTTACAAACCATGATGGGCTGGTGGGCACCTTCTCTGAATGCCCATCATTTGCCACCCACAATGATTCATAATTCCACTGTTAAAAAGAAGTTTTAGTGCAAATTAAATGATGGTTCTCTGCCTGTAAGCAAAGACTGTGCAGACAAAGGGTTATTCAGTTGTTTAAACACAGACACTAAAACACCCCAGAGCGTGTGGAGCATTTGTGTGGGGCTGGGAGACATGGTATAGGGTGTGTGAGAACCCTGGGCCGTTTGGGGCAGCAGCTGAAAGCCAAATGGGACACTCCAGGACATCTAAAACAATACCAGATGCCAGCCACCAGGAAAATGGACTCTGGCTGTTGAATGGAACAAATTTCACAGCTGCATTTATCTAATATTAGATTTATAATAGTATTGTGGTCATAGGGCAAGATACTAAATTCTCTGCAAGGTATCTAAGCTCTCTTTAGCTGATGGAGGTCTTGGATTTGACTCAAATGCTGTTGGATACCCATTTATGGATGATTGAGAGGTTCTAACGAGCCCTGTTTGGGCTTCTCAGAACCACAGGAGGGGTAAGATTGGAAGGGACCACTGGAGGTCATCTTGTCCACCCTCCCTGTTCAAGCAGGATCCCCTAGAACACATTATCCAAGATTGTGTCCAGATGGCTTTTGAATATCTCCAGAGAAGGAGATATTCTGGTGCCCCAAAAGAATATGGGGATTTTAAGGTGTTGTTGGGCTCCTGCAGTTGGAAACTAGATCGAGAGCCCAGACAAGAGGGTTAGGGGCACCTGAAAATCTGTTAGGGTTGTTACATGGAGGTGTTTGATTCTGGGCATCCTAAGTTGCTTTCCATGCTCCAGGGACAGCATTAGGCAGGTTTTCAGTGCTTGTTTCAGGAATTCAGACATCCAGCTCACAGAAGTTTTTATCAGGTCTGGTGATTTTCCTTGGCAGTATTTGGACAGCTCCCTAAATTAGAGCAGCCTGCAGACAAATTAGAGGTAATTCAGCTGATAACAGTGAAGGGGATCAACATGGAGAGGGTTCAGCCATCCAGGGGTTTTGTCCATGTACGTGAGTTTCCATGCTTTCCAGGCACATTCCATGAAGGATCACATTCTGGTTTGGCCAATCACTTATACTGGGTTTCTGTTGATAGCATTAAAGAACCAAAAATCTTCCATGGGACAACTGGGCTTCTCCATCCATTTGTAGTCCTTATATCAGATAGAACATCTTTCTGAAGATTCTGAAATCTTTCTGATGCACACAACTGCTTTAAGTTCTTGTTTCTCCCTACCAACACAAATTTCCACTGTTTTCTTCTGACTTTAAGAAGCTTTGGAGCTGATGGCAGCCAAGTCTGATGCCAGAGCATTGGAAAAATACCTGATTTTATTATTCTCCAAATTTTTAAAAACTGCTAAACTGAGAAGTCCCTTAGTTCAGAGAATGGAAGTTAAAGATACTTCTATTGTTGAGATCTTTGCTATCTGGTTTTGGTATGCAGGGATCTCTTTCTTTACTCTCTGCACTGGTTGATAATGAAAAATATTGAAACCCCTCCATTTATGTTTCTCTTCTCTTGGTCTTGGAACTGCAGAAATCCTGAGTCACTTTATCTGCAGGAAAAGGGATATTTTTGCCTACAAAGGGGGTGATAAGATGCTTGTAAACTTATCCCATTACTCCTGACCCTATAAAGAATTTAGAATGCAGTTTGAAGAAGAATAAGGAAATGGAATTAGCAAGTCATTGGGAATGTCCCATTCATACTTTAAAAATATATACCATTCTCATAATGTTTTTCTTTTTTTTTTTTCCCCAGATAAACTTTGTGCTTTTTATTGGCATAATTGTGATACTTGTGCAGAAACTCCAGTCACCTGATATCGGGGGCAATGAATCCAGCATCTACTTGTAAGTACAAATAAAACAGTAATCAGTTTGAATTACTAATATACACATAGGAAAAAGAGACAAAGTAAAAAAGACACCTCAGCTGAACGAGGTGGATTTTCAAAAAGAGTCACAGGGTCTATTAAATTGCTTTGGTTGATTTTTTACTTTTATTTTGTTAATCCATCAGACACCCAAGTGCATTTTAACGGCAGTTTTTTCACCTTTCTTTAAAAGGCCTAGAAAATAAGCAAAATACAAGATTGAAAAAAGACCAAAACCAAACCAAAACTAACTTTTTTAAAGATCAATTATCTGGAAATTAAAATACTGACCAGGTATATAAGTAACTATTATACTCATGGGACAGTTTGCTGCGCTTCATAAGTTCCAGGGACATGGTCCAAAATTCCCTGAAATCAATGGGATTTAGTAAAAAAATTTAATAACTTTGGGCTCAATTCTAATCTAGGAAGATCCCCTAAAATTGCTCATGTTCACGTTTCTTGTAACCTTAAATTCATTCCACTTAAACCAAACAATTCTCACGCCACTTAAAATTGTTTTAAAATCCACATAAGTCCTGAAATTTTCCTTTAGAAGTTTATAGCTTTGTGATTTAATTTTTTTTTTTTAAGCTGAAATCCTTTTTGTGAGTTTCCACTTTATAAGAAGACAGGTTGGTCATTTGAGATGATCTTCATCCTAATTTGGAGTGCAGGCAGGCATTCTCCTTATAAAAATTATATCATTCTTTGGAATAACTGGGATATGTGGCAGCACATTTGGTGTTGGCTTCTCTGCCCAAATACCAGACTAGTTTAATTTTGCAAATTTTTTTGTGAGCTTAGATTATTTCTTGCACTCATAAACGTGGGTAAGACTATTTGATTTAGCCCTAAATTCCTGAAGCAAATTCCTGAGGCAAGCCATGAAAACCTTAAATAGAACTAAAAGATGTCAGGGGAAAGCAGGAAATCCTTATTTTGTAGCAAATACAATTACCCAGTGATTAGTTTCACCCTAAGTAACCACAATCATAATTTAATGATGTCCTCCATTTAAATTACAATTTTCAGGGGAAAATACGTCCTCCAGCTGCCTATTTTTTTCTTCTTTTTATTTTTTTCCCCTAGTATCTAGTTTGCATTTCCATGAAAAGATAATATTTTCATGTCTGTAGTCAGACATCCACTTACTGAAAGTGCTGCGCTTGCATCTTGCTCCAAACTGTGTTTCCGCGGCCAAAAATAACGCTTGAAATTCTTTCTGTAAGTGGATATCTCTCAGAAATAAAACTCAGGAGAGAGTGGAGACATCAGGTGCCTGGTTTTCCTAGGGCTTGCATGAGGACTTCCCGTGGATGTGCTGCTGAGAAGTCCCCCACTGAGTCTCAGGTTGTAATTAGCACCCAAGACGTGCAGAGCTCGTTCCGATTACGACCTCCCGAGTGCATGTTTGGTGTGTGCTGCACATCTCTCACATATGAAGCAAAGCATGCCATGGATTCCAGTGATTTTAACTAGATTATCCGACATCCTTGTCATCCTGGATCAATATGGTGACTGGGTTTCCCTGGTGTTTTTTCCTATGTGTATAGTTAGCCACCAAAACCAAGAGAGAAACATCATATTTTCTGTTTCATTCGCTGCCATTATTTTCCATATTTCTTTGCAACTTTCGAACTGGGTGTGTATAAATGGACCTTGCATTGATGTTTGTGCTATGGAGTGGAGTGTTGTTTATCCAAACAGATCTGACAACAGAAAGGTCACACAGGAATGATTAAAAGGAATGAAATTAATAATTCTGTGCAGATTTACACCAGAGACAGACAATATTTGTGCACACAGAGCCTGTGAAAAAAGAGGTTGTTGTAAGGAAGGAAAAAGTCAGATGATAATCTGATTCTGTCACCATATTGAAATCTCTGTGGCATTTAGACTGTGGTCCATATGAAGCATTTTCCATGTTCTATTTTGCTGTTTCAAACTATTACAACATCAATCCATCACAGCAAACTCTCCATCCAGATCTTTATTCCACAACATACTTAAATACTTTCCCTTTAGTAGTTGAGGAAGGATGAAGTTGAGGAAGGATTTTCAACCTGTTTCTGAAGGAAATATCACACAGTACCTGCAGCAGGGATTGAGATTTATTCTAATAGGATTTATTGGAGTAACCCTTTAACCAGCTGGGACTTCCATCCTCAAAAAAGAAAATGTAAGACCCCAAAAACTTGTGACTGGGAGTAAGATTTATTTTTTTCTTATAGGTATGGTACATGTTTAGGTTCAGGCCCTTTTAATGATTATTTTATTTAGGAACATCTACCTCTGATTTCACTTCATAAACATGATGGTCATGGTTCTGCAAAGCACTTAAAGCTGTATTTGACTTTAAAAGCTTGGGGGATGGGCTTAAATTTAAAGATTAATATATTTATTATTAAAATCTCCCACTAGTGAAGTTCCCTGGGAATTGTAATCATGGAAGAAGAGCACTGAGGAACTGAGGATTAATTAATACAGTGTAGGCAATGGAGAATATAAGACTTGCTTTAAAAAAAGTCAAACAATCATTTGTATCATTTGCAGCATATTATGAGTGCTTTACTGCCATAAAAAAATCAGACTTTATCTCTAAATAACCTGATGATCATTGAATGCAACAGCTGAAAAAAAATATGTAGCTGATTCCTTACAAGCATTTCAGTCATGATAAAATTCCATTTTATCTACTTGTGTGTTCAGTCATCCATTACCTTTCTCATGCCTTTAGTTCCCCCTCAGAGCTGCCTGCATGTGCTGATCCCATTCCAGACTGAAGGGCTCAAGAAGTGACTGGAGGAACAATATCTCCATCTTTTTTCTCACTGATGTTTTAGATAGAAACTCCTCTTTATGGCTGAAAATACTGGGAGATAGATCCATCAAAATATCTAAGCAGCTGAGGTAGGAATTCAAAATATAGAAGACACCTTTTTAATGATAATTTTATTATTTTGGGGGTTTTTTTTCCCCAAGAACTTTTCATAGGCATCGTAATCATCAGTTATGTTTTAGGGTGAGGACTGAACTACCAAAGGCATGGTTTTTTTCTTGAAACATGTCTGATTTCAATTAATCTCGTGTCAGTCCTGCCAAATTAAGCATCCAACCAAAGCAAGATCAATAATGCAAATGCAATAGATTTTTGTCTGAGTTGGAAGTTCTGAGACCCTCGGGTGCTGGGGAAGCACAAAGTGACATTGATTGTATCCCCAGAATAATTAGGAGAATGATTAAAATAGTTCAGACAGGTTCCTTGCTCCACCTGGTGAATGAATATCATAAACAGGAGAAATGTGGCATGATTATGGACAGACAATCATGGAATCATAGAATGGTTTCGGTTGGAAAGGATGTTAAAGGTCATCTCATTCCACCCTCTGTGATGGGCAGGGACACCTTCCACTACCCCAGGTTGATCCAAGTCCCATCCAACCTGGCCTGGGACACTTCCAGGGATAGGGCAGCCACAGCTTCTCTGGGCAACCTGTGTCAGGGCCTCAACACCCTCACAGAGAACAATTTCTTCCTAATTTCCAATCTAAACCTACTCCCTTTCTGTTTAAAGCCGTTCCCCCTTGTGACTCCTCATTCTCCTTATAGAATGAATGTCCATGTCCTGAACTGGTACCTGTGTTCCCCACCCAGTTAGATTTTGCCTAACATGCTTCCCAGCAGAGAGAACCACCTGATTCTCAGCCATCTCCAGTTGCAGTTTGTAGATATTTTGAAGAAGCAGCGGATTATTTGGGGACAGTTACACCACCTGCTGAAAGCCAAGGGGCACTGCATGAATCCGGTTTGATGTCACAGTTCTGGGGACTGCAAGCACACATTCACAACCCTACAGCAGCTGGCTCAGCGCACAGTGCTCCACATCATTTGCATGGATTAACCACATATCAGTTCCTTCTCTGGAACTTTATGATAAATTGATCTGACAAGGCTTCACTCTGTTCACCATGAAAAATCCAGCCAATAGTGTATAACCTGCTATGTCACAATCTGCTTTCAGGCATCCTGGTTTTGGTCAAGTTGTTGCAGGGAGAGCACGTTCACCCCCCCACAGAAAAGCCATATTTCTATAGAAATGCCCACAAAAAGCTTAAATCCACGCTGTTATTTTCACCAGCGTTGTTGCATTGCTGAAATATTCACTATAGAGAGAAAATCATCCAACAGCACCACTACCATAATGCACCACAGTACCTTGTAGGTGTGCATGAAGTAGATGCATGCTGGAATAACCCTTAAGATTAAAAGACCCACACATTCCCATCAAGTCTTTGCTTATTCATTCATTTTCAAGGATCAAGCACATGTAACTGAAAAATCCTCTTTTTTATTTTATTATTATTATTATTATTATTATAATTTCCAGCTTATCATGAATAGTATAATTTGGGAGGGGGAAGCTTGTTTCTGCTTTTGCTTCAACAGATTCTTCATAAATTTTGTATCACATGTTGAAAGCTCAATGAAAAGAAAATAAAGCCCACAAATATGTAGCTAATTCAGGTCTACGTCATTTCTCCACTCAGCATCTTGCTGGAAAGAAAGGAGAATCATGGCATATATCATAGGTAGGTATGATTTTACCTCTGGTGCAACCTAAAGGGTCAGGGCAGTGCGAGCAATGTCGTGACACAGATGTTTTGGTAAACAACACTCCTCTGCACTTCACCTCCAAAGCCACTGGACGCTCGGTGGTTCATTCTGCTACTGCTTTTGTCTTGCTGCAAGTGCTCAGACTGCCAGAGTTAATGTTTATCCACGGGGTCTTCCTGCCAAAAGGCTCGTTTTTGGCGAGGAAATGGCAGATGTTGGATGAACAGTGTATTCCTTAGCACGGCACTTCCATCTCCGAACCCCGGGCGCTGCCGGTTGGGTGCTGGAGTGCCCAACAAACCAGCAGCAAAAGGAAATGGTGTCCCGGGGTTAATCCCTTCCTCCTGCATGGAAATACAA